ATTCCAAGGACGCAAAGAATTCGCGATAAAACAATTCGTGTTGATACGAAGTAACACACACGTGATATGACGGCTTGGCGTTAGAATAACACCCACATACACGCAAAGAAAAATATCTACAGCTCGCTGGCGTATGCATTTTCAAAGAGTCTATCTATCTATACCTGCCTAGCTCGTCAAAATACTTCCTGCCTTCATGGAACCCAGAAATTCTTTACTGTGTGAGATTATTTGTTCTCACGACGGCGAATACTAAAATGGCTGTGTTCAGGAATGTTTCGCGGTATAGTATAACAAAAATTGATCCACGTTTCACACGTGTTTACTGCCTACATCATGGAGGCAACACGTGGGAACTGTAGAAAACTGCAATAAACTTTGTTACGATAACCCGATTTTCGATTCGAGATTCGAACCACGTATCTTCCGAATAGAAGAAAGACTGATAATGACACTACGACGGCCAAATAGGGGAGTGGACACACAAGTTAACAAATGTCTGGGATCGACTCTTTGTCAGCCACTCACATGTGAAGTTGAAGAACTGAAACAGGTCAGTTCAGAGCAAAATCTCCACTTTCAGCAGGCGTGTAATTAGTAAAGTAATAGCTCTTTAACTAATCTCTCCCGCATGAAATGGCCTCGTTTCAACCAACCTCTAGCGTGGTCGACAACAGATCCGCTGCTGGGTTCAACAGAGTTGCGTCTTGGAAAGAATGCGGGCAGAGTGCCCTCGCAAGGCTGAGGTAAACGGCCTTGACCGGTTCTGTAGCTCCAGGGCGCGTATCACCGGGGCAAACCTTACTCGCCAGCTGGAGACTTCAGGTTTGGACAGGTAGAGAGGAGTTCGTGACCTATGGCTGCGAGAGGGTCTACGTGGGACAGAAGGGTTACACACAAGGACGAGGGACGGACAAAGGGGTGTGTTCTTTTACTCATTTTTGATGAGATTCTTTCCAGTGCCAGGTAATGATATATTCTGAAACGGTGAAGTCATTTCTAACCCATTGCAAGACAGAGACACTAATGTCTCCGCATGGAATCTTATTTAAGGCTGAAATGACCACAATGAAGATGTGTTTCGTGAGATTTCAGATTCTCAAGATGGCGACTATGAATATGACTGTCTTCTGAGATGTTTCATAGAAATTGACGTATGTTTCGGAGGTGTTCACTGCCTCCATCTTCAGGACAGGGCGCCTACCTGATGATGGAGGCATTAAATGAAATAATACACAAAAATCCCACCCCGTTTAGGCCATGTTGTGTGTTTCTTCGGAGACTGGGGAAAATCATGTAACACCCAGTCAGGACTGTCGGTCTCCAGACTGAGATCTGAATCAGATACCTCCTGAACACGAAGCAGGTTCTTGTCAATACGTGTATTACTCTTACTTCTGATAAGGAATTTTTTCTGCTCAGGGCTTCGCCACGCTGTGATACGGAACACTCAAATCAACGGAATTACCCGAAGCTTACTTCTAACACCTTTCACTTCCCGTTTGTTTTCGTAGGACACGTCACCGAGTTACGAAACTGAAAACGGATACAGACCGGGCGT